GGGAACTGTTGGCTAATGGACAATGTCATTCTTTAAAAATAATATATAACTGGTAGATTGTTGTTTACTCTTTCTCAGACTTCTGACTACATTGACAGCTGAGCTTTCACAGACATTATCTGTTACCTCATTACCTAAACTCAGCTGCCATCAATTAAATGATCCATGTTTCCTCCTCTTACTATCCCACTGTCCTAAATTATCTGAGTTCCTATAAACTTGCTTAACTCTAAAATATTCCACTATACAATCCAACAAAAGTTCATCTTAGAGACTGCTTGTGTTGTTAACTCATGCTGTTATCTGTTTTGTAAACTTATAAGCTACAGGAAACCCACTCAGATCTACCTCTCATGGACCAAATAGATGCCATCCAGAAAAGTAAAGATGCATCCAGAACAGCTCCAGAGAAACAACCTCCAGATGCTCCATCTCCTGTCACACACACAGCTGCTTCTACTGGACCTGTTCCTTCTGACCTATTCTCAAATGGCTCGCTCCATAGACCCTGGACAGCAGGAAACAGCCAGCTCTCCTAAGACTGGACAAACAACCCCCATACCAATTCTTCTACGTTCCCCCTAAAGACACGTTGCCCCCCAATGCCAGCAGGAAGTAGCCAGATTTCACGACGACCCTATTCCTGCTTCGCTGTCACCTCTTTCTAATTTTTCTTTTTAATTAAACCAAAACGTGGGAATGTTAGTATTCTGTCTAAACTCCACCTCCACAGTTATCTGGCAACACCCAGGTATGCTCCTCCCCACAGTTACCTGGCAACAGCCAGGTAGGCGTGCCCACTATAAAAGGGGCTGCTTGCCTCCTCCTCTCTCTCTTACTCTCTTACTCTCTTGCCTCTAGCTTCTCCTCGCCCTTCCTCCCTTTCCTTCCCCCTCTCTCCACGTGGTCATGGCCGGCCTCTACCCTCTCTACTCTTCTCTCTCTCCTCCCGCTCTCCCACTCTCTTAATAAACCTCCCCTCGTGGAACTGTCTAAAAAAAAATGTTAAAAAGAGTTATTAATTCAGTCCAGCTGACGGCAACCTCTGTATAAATCCTGCGTACGGTTTGCGGAGGCCCTGTTGTCAGACAAACAGGTGAAAAAGTGAGTTGTCCTCAGAGCATGCTCACCTAGAGTCACGCTTGCATAAATGACTGTTCTGGGTGCCTATACCGTCATGACATGGCCTCTGAGTTAAAGTTCCCAATCACTATCGACGCTGTTGAAAATCAGAGCCTGGCTTTGGCATTATGGACTGCTGCAATGCAAACACTTGTAGAGTCTGCAAACAGTCCTTAAACGTCTGCAGCAGCATACAAAACGTCTGCAGTATTATACACGTGCGTATGTGCACCACCACCTCCCTGAGAGATGTCAAATACTTTACCCCAACTGAAGAAAGGCTCACAGACAGGAAGCCAGGCTCATGCTGAGATCAAGCCCAAACTGAAAACAGACACTGGAAAAAGGAAGACTAACCCTTGCAGAGTAACCTGAGTATGTCAGCTGTTGCACCAAAGGACAGTGGGGGACAATGTCCAGCCACTGCCAAGGAGGAGGGTAAGAGTCAGGGTTAGTGTTAGAATCCATGAACTAGGAATAAAGAAGATACTACTCACACATGGCTCCCATGAGCACAGAGTACCTGCTCTACCCCCAGCGATCTGCCCATCATCATGTATTTAACCTGTAAGTTATTTTCTTTTTTAACTTTTTTTTCACTGTTAAAGACATAGCATTACCTCAGGCCAGACAGATGCTGAGAACCACAGAAAATGCATGGCAAGTTATCACCTAGGAAACTCAGGCAGAAATATTAGAAATTCTCATCACTGGAAACTTCGGTAAGCAAACATAGACGTCCAAGATCAGGGGCATATGTGATACAGGCCTTCTTGCTGGGACGAGACACCATACAGTAAGCAAGAGCTGCAACTCCCCACTGCAATCCCCTCTATAGCTGAGGAGGAGGAGTTCTTATGACCTATGCCCTTCCCACTATGCCTGTGATGGCTCGTATATGCTCGTCCAGGGAGTGGTACTACTAGGAAGCATGCCTTGTTGGAGTAGATGTGTCACTGTGGGTGTGGGCTTTAAGACCTTCATCCTAGCTGCCTGGAAGTCAGTATACTTTCTGCTAGCAACCTTCAGATGAAAATGTAGAACTCTCAGCTCTGCCCACACCATGTCTGCCTGGATGCTGCCATGCTCCCACATTGATGATAATGGATTAAACCTCTGAACCTGTAAGCCAGCCACAATTAAATGTTGTCCTTTATAAGACTTACCTTGGTCAGGGTGTCTGTTCACAGCAGTAAAACCCTAACTAAGACAATATATCCCACCACTAAAATAACGCAAAATGGTCACTATTATTTGGGAGATTAAATTTCTGATATGCAAATTTTCTTTCAGATTTTCATTTAATTACATTATAATTTTTTTATACAAGTATATCTTGTACAGTGAGCATATTTCAGGCCATACGCTCCTCCCCTTCCTGTTTCTCCCTCTGTTGCCCTAGACAGCCTCACTTCCACTTCCGTTTTATGTATGCATGCTTTTCGTTAACTGCAAAAAAATCTAGAAACCGCCAAGGAGCAACAACATGTGACTGCTGTCCTTTGGAAACTGGCCTGATTCACTTAATGTGACTATTTCCAGTTCTGCCCATCTTCCTGCAAGCAGTGCAATGTCGTTCTCTTTTATGTCTTTTGTGGCTAAAAACAATTACATCATATCTCTATATCTATATCTATATCTATATCTATATCTATATCTATATCTATATCTATATCTATATCTATATTATCTATATCTATCTATATATAGCTCACATCTTCTAGATCCATTCCTCTGTGGCTGAACACAGGTTGGCCCCCATAACTTAGCCGCTGTGAACTGACACATGAGTTTTGATGGACACTTTCCAATCCACGGCAGACTGGTCCGAGCATTATTGAATCTGAGAACTCTGAATCAAAGAGTACAAAGCTCTGTTTGCTTGCTTTTTAATCCTTTGAAATCATGCGTCGGTCTTGTCTTACTGCCATCACAATTAGAAAGTAAGCCTCTATATACCCCAGTGTGGGAAGCACAGAAAGCACAAGCCACGGAATGTGGTCCAGCATGAAGCCAAGACAAGACCCCTTGACACCAGGCATGTGCATGGAGCCATTTGAATGTCTCACGAACACTATTTGGGGAACTCAGAGCCCTTCTCTGACTGCGTTCTCATCAGCAGCCTCCTGACTACCCAGCTTCCCAAGAGAGTTTCTAAAGAAGAGATAACTTGGTGACAGTCCCAGGCCAGGTGGTCCAGGGTGACACCAACAGGCATAAATCATGCCGATGTGATACAAATGGCATAAACCGTTCTTCAATGCTGCTTCCACTCTCCGGGCTGCCTGGAGACAGCACGCTCTCTGTCCTTCCTTAAATGTCACAGCTTACACCTGTGAACATGGTGCCTCTGCTTTCCCTTTACAGTCCACTTCCCAGAAACGAACACCAAGCCCCATTCCCCTGAGAACAACCTGAGGCAAAGGCTGAGTAGAGACAAATGTCACCATTCACCTACAGCACTCCTCGCAGCTGTTAACTCGAACTAGGGATGTCTAAAAAGCTATTGCAGCCCAGAGCCGCTCAAAGGACACAAGATGCAGTTAGGTTAAGTGGCTGAGTGGGGCCCTGGAACTAGAAAATGGCACCCCACAACAGCTAAGGAAACCTACACGCAGAGTGTGGACTGAGACAAGAAAGGAGAAACCAGCTCTGCTTCAGCAACTGCAGTGTGCACAGCTCAGGCTGCCACATCAGCTGCAGTGTGCTCACTACAGGCTTCTTCAGCAATTGCAGCGGGCACAACACAGGCAGGCCAGATTCTCAAAGTGGCAGAAAGAAGGCCTTGTTTCAAATACTCATGGGAGCAAATATGGAGACTAAGTGTGGGACAGAAACTGAAGGAGGGGCTGTCTGGAGATGGTTCCACCTGGGTATCCATCCCATGAAAGCTTGGCACCCAGTGTGGGAGAATTTGAGGGTAGGGAGGTGGAAGTGGGTGGGTGGGTGGTGGCACATCTTCATAGAAGCAGGAGGTAGGGAGATGGGATAGAGGGTTCCTGGGGGGAGGGGAATGAGGGAAGAGGATCACATCTCAAATGTAAATAAAATGTCCAATAATAAAAAAAAGAAGGCTTTGTTTCTTCTCGGGAGTTTCATGGCACTGTTTATTGTGTTCCTCGTTTTGTGTGTCCATTTTCTGATGCCTACTTTGGTATACGTCAGGCATTCCCACCATCCTTTATTAAGTAACACAAATGCATAAGACCAAATCTGTTCTTTAAATAAAAAAAAAATCAGTTCCTATAAGCACTAATGTCACTGGATTATTAATCCTTAAACTTTCTCCATCTTTCTTGTCTCCTGTGCACAGTAGGTGAAACAAACTGTGTCTCCCCTCGTTGCCCTAATGCTTCCTTCTTCCACTTGGAAACATACACCTCCCTGAAGGGCAGATGGTGGTCAAAGAGCAGATGTAGCCCTAGTGAGTCAGAGGCTCCTCTCTCAAGCCCTCTGAACTGGCAATATGGCTGGCCCTTCTGGAACATTCTAACAGAGTTCTATAACTTGCTGTCACCCCCATTCTTCCACCACAACAACTGTCATTCACATTCCAAAACTGAATCTGAGAGAAGACATCAAGCAGAAAAGCCCCTCACTCCCGACTGCATCCTCACGCAAGTGATTCATAAATCTGCTGCCCAGCCACTCAGAGAAATGCATGTATCTCTCGAGTGACGTCCCCATCGAAATGCATGTATCCCTCGAGTGACGTCCCCATCTTGTCTTCAGCTTCAGCTTCGCAAATCGTTACAGAGACCCAGGTCCCTGTCGCTAAAACACGCCTTCAGCGAGACACCTCTGCAACTCAAGTCACCCACCCACCCCACCGCCCTGCCATCCATGAGCCACATTGTTGAAGGAAAAACATCCCCTACCTTTCAGTGAGGCTTCTCCATAACTGTGCACCTGCAAGGGGAAGTAAAATGTGACACTTAAGCAAGCTGTCACTCCCCGGGAGCATTTGCTAGCTTAGAAATACCCCAAGCTTCTGCAAGCTTCTCACATCTCTTGAGTGCTAGACATTGTCAATCCACACAGTGTCTATGTTCGTTACCATGAAGGATGCAGGTGATAGCCTATAAAACCCCTGAGTATGTATCATAAAGGTAGGACAGGCACTCTAGAACACAGTCCCTACCCAGTGGGAAGAAAACATGTCCATTTAAGAGACAGTGCGGTCAAAGAATCAGCATGAAATTTGACAAGGGATGTAAACCATCGTACTTCAGAAAGGACAGAAACACAACTGTTCAAGTAAGAATAATGGGAACGGTAGTGAAGGGGAGGTTGACATGGTGCAGGCTTCAGATATTTTAAATTTATATCTAAGCTCCAAGGAAATCAACAGAAAAAAATTAATTGATGATAAATATGAAGATAGATGATAGATAGTAGATAGATAGATAGATAGATAGATGATAAGATAGATAGATAGATAAGTAGATAGATAAGTAGATAGATAGAAGATAAGTAGATGAATGGATGAATGGATAGAAAGAATGATTGATTGATTGATTGATTGATTTGCTTGTCAAAACTCCAGGGGTTATCTTTATTGGACCAAGTCTTGATAGTATATTCCTAGCTGCCAGATTTAAGGCAGCTCAATATGAAGCAATTATAAAACATTTTCTGCACTTTCTATTGAACCAAATGTCAAAGCTACTGCCTTGTGTGTTCTTGAATATCCAATATCAGGTGAACACACCAGATCAAATTCTTCTCAACATTTACTGCTAGGAAACAGTTGCACAATATTCTTGGTTTCCAATTCTTCGGACATCATGGAATCATGCAGTTGACCTGGTTTCCTTCATTGTCTTGGTTGCATAAGCATAGGTATGAATCGTTCCTCAAGTCATGGTAGAATCATAGACTTCTGCTCCCGTCAGGCCTCTGAAACAATTGTGTTTCCTGTACCTTCTAGAATAACTCAAACCTTCAGAGTCAAAGAGCATATAAAGGGAAGTCAACTTAGCCCAGGTAGCTGGGAGCACTAATGTGAACCCGACTGGAGTTACCGATATGAATAGAAAACACAGCGGTCTACCCTCACCTCACAGTAGTCTAACTTGAGTCTTCACAGTGTTTCCCCAATGACTCTGGAGCCAACAGTGAAGACAAGAGATTCTTGCGTGAGATGCCTGTCTTAGTGTTAAGAATTGGAGACATGATTACGGTTGAGGGACAGAAGAGCTGGGACACTTTGAAATTGCTTCCACCACTCAGCAGAGATCTGGTAGGGATTGTGTAGGAGGAGGAAGTTCTGACAAAGATGGGGTCAAAGCCCAGCACAACTAGCCAAGGGCTGAGGAGGGAAAGAGTAAACTAACATCTGATTCCACAGGAGCAGAGACAGTGAACAGAGTGCACTGACTCTGGCACTTTGCAGGTTACCTTAACAAGCTTTCAAGGGCTGAGCTCAGACAAGCAGCCACCACACATATAAGCCAAGACAGAATACATGCACAAATGGAGAGTGTGTGAAGGACTAAAGACCGTAGGCCCAACCTCAACTAGGTCTAATCTCAATAATCAAGAGACTGCTGAGCTGCGGCATCGATAGATAGTGTGGATTTCACAGGAAGGAAGACAGAAAGACACAGTGGTTACAGAATTACCCCCTGACATGTGGCTGTGGGCAGAGATGGGGACGCCTACTGGGTTCTCTTTCCTCACAGGTAGTCCTTGAAGATCTTAGAGCCTGATGTGGAGATGGCTGGCCCTGATTACCATGGGAGTAAAAGACAAGGTGGTCACAGAGAAGCTTGAGGACATAGGAGGAATTGTACACGCTACAGAAGACAGCCTCGGGGCCTGAGAGTGAGCAGAGATGCGGGGGTACACAGGCATGAGCAGTAAATGCAGGGGTGCACACTTCCAGGGTCTACAGATACAGGCCTGGGTAACCGCCATGCTTCACAGAGAAAAGCTAATGAACACGATTGTATCTCTGCTTCCCTTTGTTTCACGTGAAGGGTGTGTCAGGGAAGACAATGGGGGGGGTGGCAGAAAAGAAGGAGGAGGAAAAGTTGAAGAAGGAGGAGGAGGAGGAGGAGGAGGAGGAGGAGGAGGAAGAGGAGGAGGAAAGGGAGAAAGTGTCAGTTGCATGAGCTTTGCTCGCCTCTCAGTGGTTATAGAGTTCCCGCCTCCTAAGATGAAAAACTTCACAACTAACTACTCAGTCACATACACACAATTCATAGGGATGTGCAGTTAAAATGAGGGAATGTATAGTTAAAAAAAATAGGGGAGGAAGGCTACAATTAAGGTCATGACCAGCAAAGTTCGTATCTGTAGCCAAGAATGTGGAAAGTAGGCAGTTCAGAGAGGGAGGAAGGCGGCAGGTCCCAGAAAGCCCTGCGGACCAAGACTTTCCTGACTGCTGTTGTGAGCAGAAGCAGAGTCTCAGAGTGATTCATGGGAGCTGCCGAGACCCCACAGCTGCTTCTGGATAGAGCTTGCAATGAAGTCTATGTCTCCCTGAGAGAAGCCGACTGCAGCCAGCACTGGGCTGGGCTGGAAGCCCTGCTGCCATCTCTAGCCAGCTATTCATGGGCTCAATTGGGCCTTTGTCCTAAAAGACTTGGTAAAGAGGGACAAAGAAGGCCCTAGGGTTTCTCCAGCCAATGCCTGGAGGAGAGCAGAAGAAGGAAGCCCATCTTTTCCTTTTTCCTTTTTTTATGCAGAGAAATTCTGTGTCCAGAACATCATTCAGTGAAAAACCCTGAGAGAAAGATGAGCCTGCTGCAGAAGCCAACATGTCTGCATCCTCATTAGAAACTGGTGTTTACAAGTAGCCTTGTCTCAAAAAGGCACTTATCATAGCCTGGGTGATGAGAAGACAGAGCCAGTTAAACAGGAGAGACATCCACAGTATGGACTGTCACTCACAGTAGCCTTTCACCTAAAAGGGATTCAAATCTTTGGCCTAAGAACAGCTTCTCAGGCTGGAGAGATGGCTCAGCAGTTAAGAACACTGACTGCTCTTCCAGAGATCCTGAGTTCAATTCCCAGCAACCACATGGTGGCTCACAACCGTCTGGAATGGGATCCAGTGCCCTCTTCTGGTGTGTCTGAAGACAGTGACACTGTACTCATAAACAAAATAAATAAATCTTTAAAAAAAAATTAGGTTCTCTTCTGTTACAGGATGAAGTGGTTTTGTCACCAAAGCAGGATGCGTATCTGTGAATGTTGCTTCGTAGGGAAAAGGGGACTTTACAATTGCCATCATGTTAAGAATGGAGGTGATCACCCAGGTGGGCACCAATCACAATCACAAGGGTTCCTTGCAGAGAGCTGGGAGGGAGGTCTGAGCAAGCACAAGAGAAGCTGATCATAGAGCCGAGGACTGTGATGATGTAGCTTTAACTCAGGGGCAACAGCACCAACCAAAGTCAGGAAGAGACAGGGGTGGGTCCTTCACTAGAGCCTCCATGGTAAATACAGACCTGTTGGTGTGTTGTTTGAACCGACAGCTTCCAGAGCTATGGGGGTAAGTACTGTCTGCTGTTTTGAGCCAACAAGTGTATGGTAATTCATTACAACAGCCACAGGAAACCATCATTCCTGCAGTGTCCATAGCTAGGAACAGACATTAACTAGCTTAAGAATTATTCTTTCTTAGCTTCAGTGGCAGGCCCAAAGTAGGAGTCAGATCAAGAGGAGGCCCCAAGGCCTGACACTATTACTGAGGCTATGGAACGTTCACAGAAAGGGACCTATCATGACTGCCCTCTGGAAGATCCAACAAGCAGCTGAAAGAGTCAGATGCAGATATTTGCACCCAGCTGATGGACAGAAGCTGCTGATCCCTGCAGTTGAATTGGAGAAAGGCTGGAAGAAGCTAAGGAGGAGGGTGACCCTGTAGGAGTACCAGCAGTCTCAATTAACATGGACCTCCAAGATCTCTCAAACACTGGACCACCAATCAGGCAGCATACACCAGCTGATATGAGGCTCCAAACATATATACAGCAGAGGACTGCTGGGTCTGTGTTTAATCGGAGAAGATGTACCTAACCCTCAAGAGACGGGAGCCCCCAGGGAGTTTAGAGATCGGGGGGGGGGGGGGTGGGAGATGGTGGGTTGGAGGTATGGGATGTGGAAGCAGTCAGAGGGAGAAAAGGGGAGGAATAAAATCTAGAGTGTAAATAAATAAATAAATATTTTAAAAAAGAATTATTCTTTCTTTCTTCATGTTAGTCAGCCTTCCTTTCTTTTTGCATCATTAAGGACCCCGACCTAAGGCCTGTGCATGTTGGTGAGCAGCATACTAGTGAGCTAGATCCGCTTTTTATTTTAAGACAGGATCTCAATCAGCAGCCCCTCTGTGGTTTTGCACTTCCTCCCCAGCCCAGGCAGGCCTCAGTCTTCTGATCCCTGTGCCTTGGCCTCCAAGTCACTGAGATTACAGGCAGGCTTTGGCAATCCGATTTAAAAATTAGAGACTCTTCAGGCTGGCAGGCTTCAGCTTGCCCTCCTCAAGGTTTCTAAGGGCAGCTTCGCTGTGAGGAGAGTTTTCAAGAATATCAATTTCCATGGTGTAGCTACCAAAATGTCTGGTTTAAATGGAAACTGAAGACCTTGATGGGCCCCGAGACTAGAACTGAAGGACTTCTGAACAGCCCTGTTCTCAAGTCTGGTCCCCACACTCAGAAGCCAAGTCCTTCAGCCCCTCCTCTCTTCCTTCCTCTGATCTTTTTAACTCATCTAAATCATGCCTAAGGTATGGCTGGGGTGAGCACACAGTGGAAAGTTCTCAGGTGCTCAACCTCCTGGGCGGTCATCGTGCTTTAGAGGCCTCTGACCACACCCACAAAATGGCTACCTTCTTGCATTCTCCTGAGGGAAGAACTTACTACAAAATATATCCAAGAGAACAAGCCTTCCCCTTCCCGCTGTGAATCAATACAGAAACATCGGGTTTGCCAGGGCCTAGCCAATTTCTCCTCAGATCCTGAGGTGTGAGGCATTGGCCTCAGGAGGCCTCGGTGGAACTGGGATACAACAGCAAATGCTGTTGGAGTTAAAAGTGGGGGAACTGGGCATCTATTCTCAGAAGGGGGGGTGAGGAGGAAGAAAAGGGGTGTTGAGGAAGAAGGCAATATGTATATGACAATATGATTTAAATCTGTGGCTCTGTGAAATGCCTGAACTAGACAAAAATGAATTTGTTTACCTTCCCAGAAAGACTAGGCATGAAGGAGTCACCGCCACATCTGCACACACTAACAGGAAACAATCTTTCTAAAGATTGCTTCTACAGTGGTTGGTTTAAGAACTGGATACTTAAACATGAACCTGCTCTAAAGCTGACCCACGGACACCATGATGGTGAAACTCCAGGGCTCAAGTTCTTGTTTGAGAGACGTTGCCTCTCTCATAATACATCCCATGACAGGCAATCTGGCCAGTTCTGATACACAGCAGTCCATATGAAGCCTAACTGAAGCCTCCTCCTTACGGTTTTTATAGACTCCTATGCTCAGGAGGGATTTTTGCCCATTTTCAAAAATTAGTTCAAGCATTAGCAGCGGAGGCATGGAGGTGCATAGAAAGGTTGCACTCAGGTAAATATAGTACATAGATCCTAAGGAAGCCAAGCACTCTTTAAAAATGAGTCATGCTCCCACTTTAGTTAAAATGTAGTGCTTATGGTTGATTCTCTTCCCAACATCATTAATCATCCAGAACTTTTATGTAACTATCAGTGATTTTTTAAAGCTTGTTGCATTTCTTTCGCTGAGGTGAAAGAAAACTGTTCTCAAACTACGACAGTTTCCAGTGGCCCGGTCTGAGCTTGTAGGGTGGAGTGAATACTTAACTGCTCTTCTTACAGCGGCCCTACTTAAATATCACCCTGGTATGTGACGTAGCTTAGAACCAAGGGAGAGCCCAGCACACGGAACTTTTACCTGTTCTGACAAGAGATAGAATCATAAAATAAATTATGAAGCTTGGATGTAGCTCAGTGGTACACTGTTTGGCTAACATGTGCAAGGGTCTGGGTTTAACCTCCAGCAATGAAGAAAAAAATGAAGTTCAATGTGTGTGTGTGTGTGTGTGTGTGTGTGTGTGTGTGTGTGTGTAAAGCAAACCCAGACAATATACTGACTTGTGTCTAAATCCTAGCACTCAGCAAGCTGAGACAGGAGGATCACTGAGAGTTCTAGGCTAACCTGGGTAGAGTAAGACCCCATCTCAGACACCCAGAGGGAAGGAGGATGTGGAGAACAGAAGAAACAGGAAGTAAAGAAACTAGAAAAAAAAGTGTCTGTCTACATGATCCTCATGTTCAAAAGATGAATATATTCACCCAAAAATTAGACGTTTAGACTCTAGAAATAAAATGCCCAAACATCAAGTCGCATATTCTTACCTCTTGTCCTGGACAAAACCATTTCCTTGATGATTTGCATGATAACACGGCCAAGTATCATGACAGAAATGAGATGATACACTCTCCACGGAGTCAAGGCAAGGAACCTAGGACCAAAAGAAACAGACATGACTCCATTTTACTGTGAAGATTTTCAATTTTTCTTTTAATCTAAGTTGACTTTCTCTCACAGGAACAAAAACTATACTCGATAATAATTTCTCTTTTTAAAAACCATACCAGCAAAACTTACTGCATCAAACTCAGCTTTCTGCTCTAATTTAGACAGAGGATTCCCTCTCTTGGGTCTGACACAAATGCAACTGTGGGTGCTACAGGTGAACTAGGAATGACCTGAAGCTGAGTTTGGACTGACTGAGTAGCCATGGCTACAGGGTGCTCTACCAACACGGAGCAGCTACAGAAGATGGCCTGTCTCTTAAAAATGGCATTAAGGGGGAATGCTAAGACAGTTCAGAGGACTAAATCATTTAGGTGCCAAGCCTTCTGATCTGAGTTAGATCTCTGGGACCCCCGTGTTGAAAGGAGAAGGCTAGCTTCCACAGGTTGCCTGCCCTCTCCATGTGTGCTCTAGCATGTCCTAGCCCCGTAATTTTCAGCTGCTGTGTGCAATGACCATATTTGGATGCCCAATAGCCATGTAAAAGCCAAGCAGGTATGGTGGCTGCCAATGTTCCCAGCCCCCTGGTGACAGTAATAGGGAATCCCTGGTCTAAGCTGGTAAGATAGACTAGCCAGAATTGCAAACTCTGAGTTCAGAAACAAACTCTGCCCTGATAGACATAGTAGAAAACTACTGAGAAGGACACCTGACATCATCTTTGGGAACAAACACAGACTCACACACTGAGACACACACATGCACACACACACACAAACGCGAATGCGCGTACACACACAGGCACACACATATATGGGACCACACATGCACACATTCATACACACGTGCAAAAAAAAATGGTACTAAGCATCCGATTTGTGAGCTGGAGAGATAGCTGAGCTGTTAAGAGCATGGACTCTTCTTTCAGAGGACCAGGTTAGACCCACATGGCAGCTCACAACTATCTATAACTCTAGCTTCAGGGGATCAAAACCACCTCACCCAGACATACACGCAGGAAAAATACCAATGCACATAAAATATAAGTAAATAAATATGAAAATTGACTCATCCACACATCGGCATGTCATGGTGAAACAACAGTGCTGAGATCAATATTCCCATATCATTGAGATTACATACATAGCAGGCACTACTGTCTTGCAGCAGAAGTCTCGTCTTGGTTTTCTGGCTCTTACAGAACTTCTGTGCCCCTTTCTATGATGTTTTGTAATGTTCCCCAAGCCTTAGGTATCGGGTTGTGTGGTAGATGTGTCAATTGGGGCTGGGCAACTCCGTCAAGTGTTCTCTGTGTTTTTGCCACTTGTGGGGTTATGTAATGGTACTCTTTTACTTTTTGAATACTTCTTACTTACTGCTTAAGAATTAGATGTATATACGACATTATGATCATATCTATACATCACTTCCCTCCTTTAGCACTCCACACTCCCACGAAGTTTTACCTTCCCAAGTTTACTGATTTTAAATCTCAGTATGATGGTACATCTGTAATCCCAACACTCAGAAGGTTGAGACAGGGGGCCTTTGAGTGTAGGTTATCCTGAGTTAGTAACATATTTTGACTCAAATACGCACACAAAAATAAACTTTCACATGACCTAGCTCTACCACTCCTGGGTATTTATTGCAAAGACTCCAAGTCAACATATCTCAGAGACAATTGTATATGAATGTTTATTGCAATACTGTTCTTAAGAGTTCTTTTATGTAACCAATCTATGTGTTCAACAACAGAGGAATAAAGATAGTGTGGTTTAAACAATAAATAAATAAATAAATAAATAAATAAATAGTCACATTTCTTTTTTTAAAAAAGGAACCAATTTGCTACCACTTCCTCTTAAGACCACACAGGGGTCTAGTCCATATGCCCACCTCCTCTCTGGAGAAAAACAAAGTAAAATCCCCTAACCATAAAGAGCACATAATACCTGAAAGACTCTTTTTGGCAAGGACTGCAAGGGAAAGAACAAGTCAAGAACTCAGAAGGAACTTGGACTCATCAGTGAGACTAAAGGATGAAGCCTCTGATTGTCACATGGTAACTGGCCAAGTTGATAACTGAAATTAACGTGGATGTACTCAGAAACCCCCTAGAAAAGCTACCTTAACAAACGTTTAATGACAAGGCTCCTCCTCTAGAGAAGAAAAGGAACTGGATGTGATGCAGGGTAGACCAGGTGGGTGCTTCTAAATCAGTGTTCTGCCTCTGTCTTACTTAGGGTTTCTATGGCTGTGATAAAACACCATGACCCAAAGCAACCTGGAGAAGGAAGGCCCCATTTTGCTTACACTTTCACATCACAATCTGTCATCAAACGAAGTCAGGGCAGGGACTCAAGGCAAGAACCTAGGGGCAGGATCTGAAGCAGAGGCCATAGAGAAACTCTGTTTACTGGTTTGCTCCCAATGACCTGCTCCATCTGCTTTTTTATAGAGAGCCCAAGACCACCAGCCAATGATGATCCCACCCAAGATGGACTCAGCTGCATCCATCAATCACTAATTAAGAAACTGCTCTATAGATTTGCCTACAACCTGACCTTTGGGAGCATTTTCTTAATTGAGGTTACCAACTGTACAATGACTATAGCTTGCGTCAAGTTGACATAAAACTATCCAGCACAGGGCCTCAACATTTTTTTTTTTTTGCCTTTTACATTTGTTTTAACACAGGCTTTGTTTTGACATCTGTGTTCTTCCAAGCCTACCTCTTTAGTCTCAGTTTATAATTAACCCCTGCCATTGTGGATATTACAGATAACTCCAAATCATATTGAAGTGTCAGCTTTCAAGATTCTTATTAGAAATCCACCATAGGAAAATTCTTACCTTTTAGATGTTTTATCCACCTATTTATTGTACACGGTGCTATACATTTTCTTACAAGTATATTCTGGACACTGAGTAAGTGATGTATTTACTACGAAATATTTCTCGAAGAAGCCTAGATTCTAGGAGGCTTCTGACTACCTGCCTGCCTTCAGATGTTTTTCATGGGGTTCTGGCTACTCACTGACCTGACTCAGAACCACTAACAAGTTGTAACTCGTAGTTTGGCTCACATAAGGATTAGATTAGCATGTATCAGTGGAATTGCCTCTGTAGAGTGATACAGAGCCCTGGAAAGAGTGAAAGTTCACTTAAGTTTAAACATCTTCAGAACCAGCCAGAGAGCCACTTAATTATCTGGCAGAAAACAAAGAATCACAAACTTAACTGAAGCCCTGGATGCCACTACTTGCTCTCTTCGTGGGCGTTCCAACTTCCAGGAATTAAAAAAAAAATTAGGTAATGATAGAACGACAGCCCACAGACCTCATTTGGCCAGCACTGCCATAGCAACACCAAAGAACATTCTAGAGGTCTTTCTGTATCCTGGGCAAAGGCCCAGTTGGCATCTCAGCCAAGGGTCTTGATGGTCATTAAGAATCCATGGTCAGTTGAGAAGGCAACAAAGGCCCAATTGCTTGGGGAAGTGATGCCACAATGTTCAGGGCTGCTTAGCTGTCTCCTTGGTAGGTCAGTGTCTGCTGTTTTGAAGAATGAAATGTCACTGAGAAGCATATATTTAAGGTAAATAAACACATGTATAGAAAAAACTGTACATACCTGGAATCTTAATCATGTATCGTGTTTAATATAACTCATCTCTTCACTACCAATAAAAATCCATAAAAGTTTTGTAATTTATATTTGTGATTTGAAATGGAAAACCTTAGAGACACTGATGAGTTTAATATTCATTTTTAAGAAGTTGCCTAATATTACAGAGATGTTATTAGATATTCTAGATATTAGATATTATAGAGATGGTATTAGATAATCTAGATATTACAGAGATGGTATTAGATATTCTAGATATTAGATATTATAGAGATGGTATTAGATAATCTCAGTCATTAAAAAAAGTCATTTTGGTAAATTTCAAACATGGCCCGAAAGAGAGGCCAAGGTTTACTAACCTGGCTTCAACAGCTCTCCATGCACGAGCTTGCCCTCCAGATCCACACCTGTGCCACACCACAAAGTACCTGCGCCGTCCTTAAAGTGAACCCCCACAGAAGTCATTTAATCTGAAAATGTCTCCATTTATCCTCCCCAAAGCTCTTTTTCATTCAGTTTTTATTTTCTAATAGTTATTTTATTCATTTACATTTCAAATGTTATTCCCTTTCCCAGTTTCCCCTCCACAGACCTCCTATCCCCTTCCCCACCCCCTCCCTCTGTGAGGGTGCTCCCCTTCCTGCTCCCACCTCAGCACCCTAGTATTTCCCTACCCTGGGTAATCAAGCCTCCCCAGGTCCAAGGGGCTCCCTTCCCACTGATGCCAGATAAAGCCATCCTCTGCTACATATGCAGCTGGAGCCATGGGTCCCTCCATGTGGTGGTTTAGTCCCTGGGAGCTCTGGGGGGGGGGGGCTGGTTGGTTGATATTGTTGTTTTTCCTGTGTAGTTAACCCAGAGCTCTTTTTATAACTGAACTATACCACTGTTACATGTGAGACCTTACCTCTGAGTCCTTTTGTGTACGTATCTGTATCTGTGTGTACATGCTCATGCATGTATCTGTGCAGATGCTTCTGCACATGTCTGGAGCTGGGCAGTGTTTGATTTGACATTGAAGTCTGTTTTGGTCAGTTTCCACCTTATTTGGGGGGACAAGGTCTCTCGCTGTCACATGAGAATCAAGTGTTAGGTTAGCATGTGTCAGTGGTCTTTGTAGAACGAGGCAGAGCCCTAGGAGAGCAAAAGCTCGCTCAAGTTTAAACAGTCTTAGAGCTAACCAGAAGCCACGTAAGTATCTGTCTGAATACAAAGAGAGGAGCTCTGGAAGTTCACTGATTCATGGAATGGCAGGAAGTGCTTGCTGACAGGAGCCTGATATAGCTGTCTCCTGAAAGGCTCTGCCAGAGCCTGACAAATACAGAGGCAGATGCACACAGCCAACCACTAGACTGA